AGAAAATGAAATTTCCAAAAGTGTTCGGGAACTTTCTTTACAACCTAATAATTACTGGAATGGGGAGAAAAATGCATCACTACCATTCTGAAAGAAAATTCTGTTTAAATCTTCAACATATGGTGTGCTTACTTTTTGTAGCTTACTTTTTGTTCTTCAAGATTTCCAAAAAATCGTTTTGCAGATAAGAACGGCATAAAAGAAATCTAGAAACGTGAATAGCTTTTCTGGAGTGGCTTGTAAAGGGTATGTTTAGCTACTTTTCCAACTCAACTCGGTTCTGGAACCGAAAACAAATTTAGCGTTGTTAAAAATATTACGTCACCATTAAGTTGTACGTGAATCTTTGTTGTTTTCAGTTATGCCAATAATAGAACTACATAGACTTTTTAGGAAACCTATCGAATACCGCAGTCTGACGCTCACTTTTCTTCCTCAAGGCAGCTTCGATTCTTCGGTTCCGCCTAGCTAATCTTCTCAATCTTCGTCTTTCTTCAGCACGGAGTTGACGCGCAAGAGCTTTATCAGCGGCAGCAAAGACTGATACTTTCTCCTGAAAATAGTTTCGCCATGTGCGAGAGCTGCAGGAAAAATTTGCTTACGCTGTTTCTCTCAAGATTCAGAAAATCTGTGGGAAATGCCATTTGCGCTCGTTCCCATTCTCTATCGGACAAGCGCTGTAACTTCTCTCCGCGGAGATCGCTAGGGTATGTTGGCATGCTGACGGAACTTGGTAACTTGAATATCGGGTTCAATGAAATTTTGCGAAATTGAACAAGAATCCTTACCGAGGGGTATTCTTCCGTGGACGGTGGTTCGCGGATGCTTCCTTGCTTTTCGCTCGAAAAATCCATGGAACGTGCTGCGTTAAAATCAGGCACTGTCTGATCACGTTTCTGTGTTTCCGTCACTGAAACAGAAGATGTGTACTGCGGGAAGTACACAGGCTAAATAATACTGTACAGCCAAGTACCCTCTTTGCTGACGTATCTCTCAACCTTATCAGCACTCACTAAAATTTGAAAAGATTATTTCAGTCTGGTTTCTTGCCACATTTTCGAATGAAAATACAACTTGACCTGATTTGCAGCTTCATTGACATTTAATCCATTTACAGTGAGCCTTTACTTGATAGTGTGGGTTTTGGAACTAGTATGACCTGCATGGTACTAGCTCCGAAAAACCCATACTATCAAGCAATATTTCTCTAGTGTTCATTTTTCTAGTGTAGCGGTCCTCTTTCCTCATGAGAGTGCTAGATTGATCACTACTGTAAGGGGGTGGCGAAGACAAGAGAGGGAGGAGGGGGGGGAGGGGAAGAACGTGCTGCGATTTAGGGCCGCATGCACTAACATTCCCGCTGTTGAGGGGAGCGCAATTTAAAGGTAAGCTTCATATCATGAAATTCCAGATACATGGTTCACGCTGTCTACTTATGAGTAAGCATTGTTACCATCCTTCACTATAGACATATTGAGCAGGAGCGAGAAGCT